GGAGGGGGTCGGGGCACGTGGTCCGCTTTGAAGTGTTTGATGAAATTTTCAACACTTAATGATAGCACACGCAACCTTGGGGGGAAAGGGGGCTGCGGCTGCAAAAAAGGAAAAAGGGCGACGGCTCTGGCAACATTGCGATGTCCGCTCCTCGGCCAACCAACACAGCACATCATAAACGTCAACGGCAACGACCATGCACCACACAATTGTGTTAACCAAATGAAGCTGCTGCCCCGTGCAAGCCCCCTCCACTGCCCTTCACCGCCCTCCACCACCCTTTTGGCCATGTCCAGCTCAGTTTCGGTTATGGACCTTCCGCCAGATCGGCGACTACATAAATAGCAGCCGGCAGTCAGCGACCGGGCCAATAAAACCAACGAACCACTTCAAAATAGGCTGCATGGAATCGCGCGAAAATAAAATAGCTGGCAGGGGGAAATGCAAAAAGTCCAGGAGCCATTGAAACAGAATTTTTATATACCCTGGAGGACAGTCCATAAAGGCTTTTTAATGCCCGTTGCTTAAATATTTAAACTTTCAGGCGAGCCGTGGATGCCAAACTGTGCCGGTGATTTAATTTTCACCCCGTAAGGCGCAGAATATTTTACTGAAATTATAAGTGAACCATTTTTAATAAATTCCTTAATTTTAGTTTTTTTCTTTCAATTTATGTTTAATATAATGTTAATTAACACTAACAAAAGCCATTATAATTTATAGACATGGTAATGTTATATGTGAAACATTTTTAATAATTTCCCACTATCCACTAATAGTGAATTTTAGTTTTTCATTATTTCTTTCTATAAAGATAAGTTACAGTAATATGGTCTTTGAATTTCAGCCTAGCTACAGAAGATATTTGCATTCATTACAAACTTGCAATTACCATATAAGGTACTTCTGGCATTATCACATCGTTATTATACCCCAAAATTTGCATGCCCCGCTGTCCCCTTTTCCATTTTCCGCTTTTCCGCATTTTCCATAGCAGTGAAGCCTGCCTGCTGTTGTCACTGTTGGTCAGCAGCTGCTGTTGTTCTTCCCACATTTTCCCTGCCGCCGGTTGCTTTGGCTGCTTTTTGCTTTTGTTTATGGCCGGGAATTATGTTGTTAGTGTTGTTTATATTTTAAAGCCCCTCGAACGCTTAAAGTGTTGCATTGAACGCGCCAAACGACTGCCAATTGCCAAATAAATTACGAAATTTACAGCCAACCCCAGAAAGGAGTGTTGCTCAGAAAAAATCGACATCGAACTCACTAAAGCCCCGCCAAACAGTTTTCCCGCTGCGAATGGCTGCTGAGTGTTGGCCCATTTGGACACAATCAACGGCAACATTAACGATATCGCCTTCAAAGTGCCGACCCGTACCCAACCCAAGACCCGAGCCCCTGCCAAAAGCAAAACCGGCCCGACCCAGCCGGATCCGGGTTCTGCTGTGGTCCGGAGTACGGGTCCGGGCAATAGCACGGCAAACACGCAGGTCCCCCAATGACAAACCCCAAAAAGTTTTGCAGGTATAGCAGATGGCCTTTACTTTCTAGCGATGGGTGCGTGGATGGTATTTTGATAACTATTGGAATAAGGATAACTACTATTATTGTATTATTATACTATTTCAATAATATGCCTACTTGCTTAACTGTCTTTAAATGTATTGTTTAAAGTCCGATACGTTAGTTAAATGACATACATAACTTTTTAAGATAATACGTAACAGTTATCACTGTTAAGAGCTAGTCCAATAAACAGAACCTTAGGAATGCAAGGTTATTAGTTTGAAAAATTCAAGAGTAGTATTGAGTATTGATTATTGAGTTTGCAGTTATTTTAAAAGATTATTCGTTGCTTGTCGTAAGTTCCAAATAAGGAAATAATATATTTTCAAACGGACGTCAATACACAGTCACGTTGCCATCCCTAACACCATTTTCCCCTGGCCCAGTGGCAAAGAGTTCCCTACGTTTTGCTTGTTGCGTGTCCACTTTCACTTAGTTTCCATCAGTATGTGTGTGTATCTGTGTGTCGGAGCCCCTGTATTAGTGTGTACCGAGAAATTGCGGTTTGTTTGCCAGGTAATTACATTTCGGCATTTTCTCTGTATGGGTTCACCCCTCGGTTTCCCCAACCCACCGATCTACTGTGTGTGGGCATGTCAGCGTGATAATTATGCGACTATAATCGCACTTTTACATGCCAGTCCTGGGGAGGGGGTTCTTGGAGGGTAGGAAAATGGAGAGGAAAGCAAATAAGAGAAGGCAAAGGACAGCCGGGCAGCGGGGAAAACTCAACTTGGAACTTCGAACTTGGCTAAAACACTTGAACCTTAAACGAAATATGTCGTCAAGCGGCAAAAGTCAGCAGTGCCAGCTAATTAACTGGTCGCCAGGTACGGACTTACATACGTACTTCTCGACCCGACGACGACCCCGAACCGCCCGCACCGCCCCCCGCCACACATTCATGCAATATTTAAGGCAACTTCGCCGGCCGGCCGGGCTTAAACAAAAGCGAAAGGCATGTTTAATCATAAGAGCAAAAACAACATGGAACCGTCGCCATTTGCCGTGTTGCCAAAGGCAGAAGGTTTCTTTCGTTTCTCGGATAAAGCAGCAACAGAATTGGCCGAGAAGTGACGTCAACGTGGCGGGCATACAAAAAAGGGTTAAGCAAATATTGAAGTGAATAAAAACCATGAAAAGGGATCCAGCAAAAAATTACGACAAAAATACCCGCATACGTATAGATCTATATATACATTTGTAAGTCTACAGCTGTGGCCAAAGTATAGGTTAAGAAGAATACCAAGTAACTTATACTACAAACACTTAAACTTAAAGTCCTAACCGGATATAATAAGCTTTATAATGAAAATGAAACGCTAATAAATGAAATATTTACTTAGGGTTGGATACTTAAAGTTAAATTTTAATTTTAATTTACAAAATATCTTAAAACAAAATGTAGCTAAATTAATGTATTAAATTCTAGCTAGGAGCTTTAAAAATGTATTGCTCCAAATAAGAAAAATCAAAAATTGTTCGATAAGTTATAAAAAACAATAGCGAGCATTTTACCTAAAATTGGCACTAAAAACCTTTACCCAGCATTTATAATATAGAGGGTTCTAAAATTTTGTAAAGTACAAGTGCTATTATTTTGGCCTCAATTGTGCAGCAAAGAAAAGAGAGATGAAACGCAACGCACACAGTTAACTACTCTTTTGGCCGTGTCGCGCCTCTGTGGGCGTGGCACGTAGAGGAGGCGTACGGGCCAGAGCGAAAGTTCCACGGCAAAACCCAAAGCCGGAGCCCCTAGCCTGGCTTGCTGGAGCAGCAGCTACCAATTAATGTCCTTGTTAGGCAGTGGCCTGTAAAATTGGCTTAAAAAATATGTAACCTTATGCGAGAGTGGGCCACAAACTGAATACCACTATGGGCGAAATTGAGTTCATGTGGGAGGCCGACTGAGGCATAACAAGTAAAGATATCAATATATTTGTTACACAAAAAATCTTAACAAAACAGCTATGGCTTATTGTTATTATTGCTTGTGGTATTTTTGTTTACAAGGCCATGATTGTAAATAAAATTGATTAATATGTGTTAATAAGCATTTATGATAATCCTTCTGTAACAATGTGTTTTCTAGCCTTCAATAAATGTTTTATTTCATTTTTTCACAGACACTAATCTCCTGTTCCCATAAGTCAGTTCAAATTTTTGTAGCATGTACCCTTACATTTTCTAGATCGATCTCGTAATTGCCCACAGTATAAACCCCACAATGCATGTGTGTGGCTAGGTCTGTTTATACGACCTGCGAGTGTGTATGTTGGCCAACCGAAGGGCGGGGAATGGGCATTCTTGCCACTACAATGGCTACAGTTACGTCCTGGCTGGTGTTGCTTTTGGCTTTAAGTGAAATAAAGTTCCCTTCGCTTTCTTTTTTATGCACTCGCGGCTATTATTTAATTTGCGCAGCTGGGCGTAAATGGGCGACGGCCACGGCTTTGACATGGACGGCACACGAAGGCTCTCGGAATGCCAGAGTGCCAGACTGCCAGAGTTCAGCTTTCACAGCCCAACGTTTCTGCATTTCAGCATTTCATTATGGGCCACCTCATGCGATGCCATGGCGAATCAATGGACCCGAATGCGGCCCAAAGCGGTTGCCGGGCACGCAACTTTTGACCAAAACCAGGGCCCAAATATCGAATGGAAATGCAACATTTGTGCAGATATCAAAGTTGCCGCAGTGATTTGCAAAAACCAAGGAGGACACATCTTCGCCGGACAAAGGAGCCCGTCTGCATGCGCCTGCCAGAGGAGCAACAACCGCAGCCGGAGGGGTGGAGGTGCCAATCCCAGTGCGGCGAATCGAGGGCCACTAGGGGTTAACGCTAGCTCCTGCCTGCGAGGCCATCTAATCTGTAAGCATAAATTCCAATCATTTCGCAAATGGAATGTGCTAGCGCAAACCAATGAAACCGCAAAACACAACACAGCAGATGCAGATGGCCGGGGAGCCGAGGAGCAGGTCCAGTACTCCTCCCGTCAAACTTCATGTGGTTCCCGGGATGAGTGGAACTTTTGGGACCGACATTGATTTTTGACGGGTACTCTACAACGGACATTCCCTTTCCCCTTCTGGCTTGATTTCGATTGAAGTTCTAGCTCTATTCTTCAACCACATTTGAGGCGGGGTCTTTCAGGGTCATTGGCATATTTACCATCTTTCTTTAATTATATTTATCAACATAATAACCAATATAGACCCTTGGCTTTTAATAGTACTTCATTTTTGGAGGGCAATTTGGGACGGACTTTTTTCAGTAACAAAATGCAGTTTTTCAAGTTCACTACAACCTTTTGGTATCCCTTGCAGGGGGTATTATAATTTTGGTCAAAAGTTTGTTACGCACTGAGGGAGATATTTTGTTAAAACATTTACAAAGCAAACCTTTTTATTACATTCATTCCAAACATAAACATAAAAACAAAGAAAAACAAAAAATCATAAAAAACAATCGAAAAAACCAAGGAAAACTAATAAAAACAATGAACTTTAACCAAAACAAATCGACTAAAGCGCCCTTTAGAAACAGAAGGCTTAGACCGTGTCACATCGACTACACTGAAGAACGTCTTTGGGAACCGAGTTATTTGAGGGTAAACAAATAATTCACCATTGTTCGTTAACTTATACCGTATTATCCATAGGCCAAATGCAAGGAACTGGGTTTGGAGGAGGAGTATAAGAGGTATCAGATCCGTCTGATGATCAGTAACCTTTCTGTGTTCTATGTCCTGCTCATATTTTTGGGTCTAACCTTTCTAGCAGTCGAACTGATTTTCGTAGAGGTGAGACTTAATGGATTATTGCTTAAAAATCGGCTAAAATAACTTATGTAGCGCATGGAAGGGGTTTTCGTTGATATGATGAGCAGGCAATTATCATTTGTCGTGGTAATGATCTTTTTAAGCGTCAACTTCTGTGAAAACTTTGTAAGCCGCCACAGGTGGGTCATGATTTTATCTTCGGCTTTGTCGGCATATGTTGTACTAATCGGAGGTAAGTCAGAAAACATAAGAACGTGCCTTATGCCCTTATTGGCTGTTTATCCTTAGATCTAGGTCATAACTCATATCATTATTATACGGGCGGCTGGCAGCTCAGTGCCAAATTTGACGTCTTTGTTCTGTGCATGATCTACATGTTCATGCCAATACCCTCAATTAGGGGAGCAGCCCTACTGGCCACCTCAGTCAGTCTCATTTACATAACCTACTTCCTTATGTACTCATTCTCATTTAACACGGAATTCGATGTGTCGAGTTTTGACGACTACGATGATATATCCGTTGATATCTTACACAACGTGGGCTTCAACATGATGGGTATATTTTTCCGAATCATGAACGAGACTATGGTTCGTGCCTCCTTCCTGGACCGTCACCAGTTCATCATGGAGGAGAAGTGGTTGCGCCACGCCCTACAACAGGAGTCTATGCTTCTGGACAGCATCCTGCCTCCCCAGATAGCGAAACCCATCCAGGACAGCATCAAGAACAAGATCAAGCAAAACGAAAACGAGTTCGACCGCTTTAGCACGAGAGGTTCCTGGAGAAGGGAAACCTTTATGGCCATCCAGATCCATCCCGATGTCTCCATCCTCTACGCAGATGTGGTGAACTACACCCACTTGACAACCACACTGACGGTGGGGAACCTGGTGAAGGTCCTGCACGACCTCTACGGCAGATTCGATATGGCTGCCTCTACTTTCAATGTGCAGCGCATCAAGTTCCTCGGTGACTGCTACTATTGTGTGGCTGGATTAACGACGTCCGATCCAGATCACGCGAAATGTGCCGTGTCCTTGGGCCTTTCCATGATTGCCAACATCCAAGAAGTGCGGTATGCTTGCCATTGGGACTAGGATTTAACTAGGTTCTAAAATGCCCAACCCTCCCACAGGGCTGAACGTAAATTGGACATCGACATGCGCATAGGAGTACATTCAGGATCTCTTCTTGCAGGCGTTATCGGCGAGGCGAAGCTGCAGTATGACATATGGGGTACTTCACTCCCTGCAAAGCAAAAAGTATATATTAAATAAACATCACTTTTCAGGTGCTGACGTTGAGATCGCTAGTCGTTTGGAAGCTACTGGAAGACCGGGATTTGTACACGTCAGTGGACGGACTCTTAGTAACCTGAATCCATCAGATTATATTATAATGTCAGGTACTGAAACGGCCCGAAATGATCCGATGCTGGAATCAATGAGCACCTATCTACTTACTGACCAAGTAAATCGTAACTCTGTCGCCTCCACCTTGGAAGGAGTTTTATCCGCTTCGAGCCTTGATATTAAACCTGTAGAAACTGTACGATCACAAAGAACTAGTCACATGTCAATGAATGAGGAGTTGCGCGAAGACTTTCGGAATATGCCAGTAGGGGGCTTCGAGTAAGTTAAATTAGTTTGCTAACTTCACAATTTCCTTTCTTCGTGGTGTCGATTGAAATTGTTTATTTTACTGTGAAATTTTACAATGCAACCTTTAAAAGCAAGCAATACCTCAATTCATGCTCGGATCCATGGCGGGGTTATGGGGAACAGATCAGCCCTAAGTAAATGTTAAGTTAACTAAGGATGAGTTTTCGTTGCCCACATTTAATAAAGTTTGTACTACAACCACTTACTTTTTGAAATAAATTTAGGCATCAAATATCTACTTTCATTTTTATTAAGACTACTAACCGATTTTTTTACTTTAGCTTTTATTCACCTTGCTGCCGTCAAGCTGGTAATGACAGCCATAAGAAAACAGAGCGCGAAATCGGCCTTTTTTGTGCAGCGTTTAAGGACAAGTCTCTGGAATGGAATTATATGCACCAGCCGGACTTCATCTTGAAGTCCTCGGTGCTACTGGCCTGGGGAATCGGGTGCTGCCTGATCTACATCCAGCTAGTGACTAACAATTTTGCTTGTCCTGTATGCATTGTGGTCGACTTGATTGCGTTTTTATTTCTGACTTCTCTGCTCTGCATCGCGTGGTACAAGAAATTATGTTGGTGGAAGAGTGGGCACAATGAATTCAAATGGCACAGCAAATACAGCTGCATCATATTTCACCTGTTTGAAAAAATCCAACACAGTGCGACTCTTCGCATTTGCGCCTATTTCCTGATCATAATTTCCTACTACTCGGTAATATCGCTGATTATGGTAAGTATTGTACAAACTTACTCACTATTATTGGTCTATTATAATTATAAAGTTAACTAGTGGTGGGATAGTTAGATTTTTAAGAATAGGATAATAAGTTTTTATTTGTTTTTGATGGAATTTTGCGCTGTGTATGACATGAAACTTTGCAAATATAATTTTTTCGTGCTTATCGGACGATCTCCATAAAAACGATTGATTAAAATATGCACATTTTTTAGTTTTGGAAAAAATAAAAACGAAAGCAGTTTAAAAGTCAGTCACATATATCTTTGCAAGTCGTATTATTTTATCTATACCATTATCAGGACCAAAAATCTGTCCCTTAGGAGTAAAATAGATACAAATTTGATAAAACGCTTTCCGGCACTCTTAAAATAACACCATGCGTAAATCAAGTACAAACAGCCTTGATTTAAGAACGATTTCATGATTACCATTTAAGAACGATCGTGAAAGTGCTCGGTATAAAAGTCGCATAAATTACGTAGTGTTAATGCCCGTGAGCGGCAAGTTGTAAGTAAACGTTAAATATTAATATTATTTAGATATATATCGTTTATTTCAGTTATTTCAGTAGTAAAGAAATAATACTATCATATAATTAAAACCCTATTTAAATTTACAATATATGTATATTGACTTAAGAATTATTCGTCCTTAAGTCATGCCTGCAAACTTTCTTATTTTATAATTAAATCGTTCTGGTTTTCAGGCCAAACATGACTTGATTTAAGAATTATTCATACTTGATTGTGGATCGAAAGGTACTCAACCCTAGCATTTTCGGTCATGAAATTGCGTGCCTTAGAGCTGCACTTTGTTCTCGGGTTCTATGTTTTCCATGCTTGGAAAAGTTTTGACACCGAAAATACTTCATTCAAGCACTAAATACTTGTTATACCCGTTACTCGTAGAGTAAAAGGGTATACTAGATTCGTCGGAAAGTATGTAACAGGTAGAAGGAAGCGTTTCCGACCCCATAAAGTATCTATATTCTTGATCAGGATCAATAGCCGAGTCGATTTAGCCATGTCCGTCTGTCCGTCCGGATGAACGCTGAGATCTCGGAAACTATAGGAGCTAGGCTATTGAGATTTGGTATGCAGATTCATGAGCGCAAGTTTGTTTCAGCAGCGTGCCATGCCCACTCTAACGCCCACAAGCCGCCCAAAACTGTGGCTCATACAGTTTTGATGCTAGAATAAAAATTTTAGCTGAAATGTATTGTTCTTATCACCACCTATTGATTGACCCACAAACTTCAAAAAATCGTAGATATGAACGCGGATATCTCGGAAACTATCAAAGATAGAGAATTGGGATCTCAGACTTAGATTCCGCAGCCTTGTACGCAGGGCAAGTTTGTTACGCGAATATGCCACGCCCACTCTAACGCTCTAACCGCGCAAGCCTGTGGCGCCCACAATTTCCATGCTAAAAAAAAATTTTGACTGAAATGTATTAGTCTCGTCTATACCTATCAATTGAACCAAAAAAAAGTTTGCCACGCCCACTCTAACGCCCATAACGCTTAAATCTGTCTACCGCCCACATAACCATATATTGAGATCAGGGGTAGGTGGCGCATTTCAGTCTCGTTTTGCTGCTTGCATATCTCCATTTCCCTTTTGTCCCTTTAGCTGAGTAACGGGTATCTGATAGTCGAGGTACTCGACTATAGCGTTCTTCCTTGTTTTTCTTGGAACAGTCACCTTGCATATCACCAACTCCCACTCACTCTCCTTAGCTAATGGACGGGTGTTCAATGGTCGATGGCATCGACTATAGCATTCTCTCTTGTTTTATTTTTACATAAATACACTCAAAAAAAAAATTATACCTTAATAAAAGAAAACCCCCCTACTGGTACCATACTGGTATTGTGCACCAGCCGGTCAGTGATTCCCAAGATAGGGGAAATATAGATTTGATTTTGTTTCGTGGGATCTTGGTAAGCCTCACTCCTCTCCAACATAACAAGAATACATTTTAAAAGCGCCTCGAAAATAATAACTAAAGTAAAGTTCTTCAGTCGTCGGCTTACATTCCTCCACTAGATCGTAGCACGATCACGCTGAGTTTCGGCCTTATTCCTTCCCCTTCACACATTCATGTGCCGAATGAATCGTTGCTGTCCATGCAATACGACCCCTTCTTGTCAAGTTTGTCCGTCGAAAGTTATGTCAATGTTATTGTCATTGTTCTTAACCTACCCCACTTATCGGAAATGCTTAGCATATCATGGTTTCAAATTCTTTTTTACATTATAAGTTGATTGGATAAAATATTGGCTTGCGCCACGGATACGTAATGGTAATGGCTAATACATCTGGAAGTAATTTAAATGAAAATTCTTTTATTAGTGGAGAGTATCGAATTTACCACCTGCAAGGGTGCACACATCAGCAAAACGATGACAATTCACTACTACAAGCGACGTTTTGAGGGCTCTTGTATATCGAAATGATTATGATATGATTATTTACCTTATATTATTCAGTCAACCAGAGCATGGAAGCTCTGGGTTCCAGCCGAGCTGCGACCTGATTTAGTTTGTAGAGCACATAATGCCATAAGCGCAGGGCATGGGCATTGCAGAAATCTCAAGCCAAATTGAGGCAGTTTTACTGCTGACCAGGGATTACGGTAGATGTGTAATGAAAGAGTGCGAGGTCTGTAAGTTCACCAAGACCACAAACGGAATGGGCTGGCCACAGGTTGTTCATCGACTTTATGGGATTATGTACGATTTTTACCAAATTTTAGAGTGATTATTTTTTTTTAAATATAAAAAAATTTCTTGGAAGCTTTTCTAAAACGTAAAAATAAAATATATAAAAAAAAACATGTTTATATGATACATTTTCGATTTTTTGATTGCACATATCAGAAATTTTAGTTTTGTATGTACAATGTACATTGTACATGGTATTGTGTTAGGGTTGTTAAATGTTGTTTGTATCACGTATTCGCGCGCCTGAACTTACCAATGTAACAGTTGCTATAAATAACTACGGGGGAGGGGTATGGGGGGTATAGAATGTTTTAATTAGTAATATTTTATCTTTCTGAAAAAATGTGTATAATCCGCCGGCGTATTCGAAAAGTGGACACTTGATTTTGAAAACACCCTCAGAACTTGTAAGCATTTGAGATTTCTTAACTTTTGACGTTTTACACATCAATAAAATTGGCGCTTAGAAGTTATTGAGCGTCAAAAACTATAACTTAGCTAAGATCAAATAACTGTTCAGAGTTATTCGAATGCGCTGAAAACTATGCATCCCCGGTTCGTTGTACTGAAATAACAATAAACATCATGCTTTTTGGCTTTTGAAATGTAAGAACAATCAAACATCGTAATAAGCCAAAGCCCATCTAGGGTTCTCTGGCTTAGGTCGCGTTTGGGTCTAATTAAAGCTACTTAAAGTTCGAAGACAAATTTTATTTTTATTTTTCATATCTCTTACACCGACTTGACTTTAAAGTTTATGTTAGAGTTGACAAAGGGAACTAAAATGACAAAACACATTTTTGAAAAATTTTATCTAGGGCGTTAAAAATCTAAAAAAATTTCTTAAGATAATCATTAAAAACAATATAAAAGTAGATAAGAAAATACTTACCCTAAACACCAAACTTAATATGAAGGTGTATATTTTGGAATTGTATCTATATTGATTTAATGAACATATTTTTCGAAAAAGGTGTGGCACCGCCCATTTTTTACATGTTAAGAAGTGGTCTTTAAAAGCCCTGGACATTAATAATTATTATGATTATGGTATTGGTAAAACCGTTCTCAGCGTTCTCGATTTCAGTACTTTCGATCTCAAATGTGAGCCAAGAACGACTCATACTAAAAATACTAAAATCGTCATCGGAGTCTTCTCGGTTTGCGAACGGGCCTTTGAGAATAATCGATCTTAATTACAGTATGAATTGTTCTCGGTTTCAACATCGCATCGATCTCGCTCCCAGAACCCATTCTCAATAAAAATGATAAATTTTTTTAATTTTTGCCTTACGACTTTAATGTTATTATTAAGGGTCTATACATGGAGGGGGGCGTTACAAAGTCGGACAAATTATAGATGTAATTTCTTAATGGATTTCTTACAACGTACGATCTTAAATGACAATTGTATTCTTCTTCAATTTTTTCACAATTATAACTTCACTTCAATTTATTTTGGGAATTAAAAATTTGCATCATTTTAAATAACATAAAATTATTCTTATTTAAACCTCTGAAATGCACACGGAGACCAATCCGTGGGATCGACTCTTTTATTTCATCGTCATTTATGTATTGAAGGCACACTACAACAAAAAATGATTTTTATTAATACTATACTATAAGATGGCTGCGAATACCAAATAACAATTTATTACATATGTACATTTATATATATATTGCATTCTCATATGTAAGTTATCCAACCCGTGAAACGGTTCCACTTATGGAATTTATAAACAAATTTTTGAATTCAATCTCAGCTATGTTGCCCTTGCCTTTAGCGACATTGCCCTTGCCTTTGTTTACGATTCTGCCTTTGTGACAGTTTCGGCATAAGCTTTTATTTTTAAAGAAAATTAAAGTTCTGGAAGCTTAAGAAAGAAAAGTTTCTGGCCGAGGTTCGTTGGATAAATTTTGAGAGTTAAGAAGTCTGTCCTATTTTGTCCGAGACCGCGATCGGTTCACAAGTATTAAAAGTGTCTTGTATTGCGTATTAAGAATAAATTTTTAGCACCCGAGTTATAAGATAATAAATACATTTTTTAAATCATCTTCAAACAAAGAATTTAATTTGTATGTGTACATTTGAGCTCTCAGCTGACAGAGATGCCGGACCGATGGAAAAAAGTGTGAGCGATATTTAAACCGAAAATTTTTTTCGATTCCCATGAAATAATCTTGCTAATGTTAAAGATAAAGTGTGTGCAAGCCAGTATAACATTTTTTCTGCCTTCAAAATAAAAGATAAAAACTAGTT